AGAGTTACATATGGATATGGAGGTGGATGAAAATGGGGCAGTGTTCCCGAGGAGCATTTGTTTACAGGGGTGTGGGGTTCCTGAAGAGCTCTCTGGTGTTCTCTTCTCCCCCCGACTCTCTCGGGTTATTTCTCTGAAGATGATAGGCTGGGGAGGTATGAAACAGAAGAAAAGACTACTGACAATAAAGGCCATAGGCAGGCGTGTGTGTGTGTGTGTGTGTGTGTGTGTGTGTGTGTGTGACTATATCAATATCCAAGAAAGAAAGCAAATTCTCAGAGTGATAGGGTATTGAATAAGAGGAGGGAACATCAGAGAGAATGAACAATTGCATTGTTTTCTCATCAACAAACTCTGAAGTCCAAAGAGATTGATAGGAGAAAGAGTACCATTCAAGTGTGAGTCCAAACTCAGATACTTGGAAGTTACCTATAACGAGGAATAGCTTCATGGGATCCGTCCACACCTTTGGGGACCCCTGGACCTGCTGGGGTTGGACCCCAGCATGGGGCTATTGTGAGATTCTAACAAAATGATAGGTGATTCAGAGCTTTATAAACCATATAGTGTCTTTAAAATGCAAGATGCTGTATAAACTGTGAAATACTATACAAATATAAGGGATAATGATTATGATTACCTGAGGAAGAAAACATCATTCTAAATATAGTCTGTTACTTGAAAATTATACAGTAATAAGGTTACTTTAACAAACAGAATTTGCCTGCTGAAATACATCTTCTCTTCTTCAAAATCGATAATCTTGATGGGACTTGACATTTATTTCAAAGAGAAACTATTAAAAACACATGAGACTCCTTTTCTGGGATTAATTTCCTTTAGAACCAGTTTATAAGCCACACAAAATTATCTTATTAATTTATAGCCACATTGTGTTTTGAACCTTACATATTATTTAGCTTAATCATTAGAGTTAACTCCCAAAGAACTATAAGTGTTGCTGTTTTTTTTTAAATCAAAATTCACTCCCTAAAGCATGATTCTTAATCTGTGTGTGGGTGTGCGTGTGTGTGTGCGCGCGCGCGCGTGCGTGTGTGCGTGTGTGTTGAGGTCCTGCCAAAATATACAATACACAGAACAATTTGTATATGGATCTCTAGATTCCCAGGTAAAGAACTTCCCAGAGTTACAGAATTCAAATTTGAGGGCTACAGATCTGAAGGCAATTATTTTCTAAGCATAAGCAGCAGGCTTATTGGAATAAATGTTTAGCCTCCCAAAGGAATTGTTTGAAGGAAACCACACCACTGTAGAAATGATCATATGGTATGAACAATTAAAAATTAATCCATTAGAGTCATATGGGTTTGTGCTGTCACTTCTATGGCTGCAGTGGTTTTGGTGTGTGTGTGTGTACACACAATCCTCATTACTAGGATGCTTAGGCAGCAGCATTTGTCTCCCCAGGTGTCTATCCTCACCTCAATTTAAACAACTCAAAAGAATCATAGCCCTAGGAAAAGGCATGACTCAGTTGGGTTAAAATTGTCCTACAGCCTACCTGGTCACAAGAGATGAAGAAAGGCAAACTTGGTCATTCTTTAGGTGCTCCTGGAAGAGGGCTGGCCAAAAGGGCTTTGGGGATTACACTGGTGTTCTTTTTATGAGACAGAGAGGATTTCTTATGATCCTCTCACATGCCAACCACAGTTAGCACCAGACTTGAGATAAATTAACTCATTAAAATCTTTAGAAAACCTCCTCAGAAAGGTAGTATTGTTCTCATTTATAGATGAGAAAATCAAGACCCAGAAAAGCTAAATGACTTATAATTAAAGTCAATTAGCTAATAGTGAGCAAAGCCAGGATTTAAACTCAAATTTTATTTCAGAGCCTAGACTCCTTCCACTGCCCAATACTGTCTCTTCCCATTTCTTCCCTGGCCTCTGTGAAACACTCTTGTTAGCTTCTCCCTCCCTGGAGGGCCTCTGGAAATAAACCCATACATTTACCTCACAAGGGACAGTGCCCCAAATGGCCCATCTAGGACTGAGACTCACTTGCTTCTATTACTAACTTTCTTCATGACATGACAAGCTCCTTAAGTTACCTGGGCCTTGGTTTTCACATCTGTAAAATAAGAGGATAAAAGTAGATGAAACTTTGAACTGAAAAATTCAATGACTGAATTTTGTGCACTCATCCCATTCTCCCTAGCTGGCATGCCTCCCTATCCTGTGGGTTGCTCACAGCTCACCTCTAGGGTGCCGCCTTCTGACCACCCTAGCTTGACACCAACAACATGTATCTGGCTTGTTGGCCATTTTATACTTATTTGGCTCATCTTTTTCATTCTCCTTCCGTATCTTTTCTGAATTCCTCAAATATTTTTGTTTATTTAATCCCTATATAACCAATTTATGAATAAACCAATTTATGTTGTAATTCCCCCCATGAGAGACAGTTGGTTGTTTCCATTTTTCACCAATGATGCTGAGACTAATTCTTTTACTTGCCTCCTTGAGTACATGTGCAAGAGATTCTCTAGAGTGAATGTCTAGAAATGAAATTGCTGAGCCATAGGGTTTGTGCATTGGATATTGCCAAATTGTTCCCTGAAGTGGTAGTACCAACATTATGTTCCCATTTGCAATGTGGAAGCGTTCCATTTCCCATATCCTCACCAATACTTATCAACCTTATTTTTTTTTCCAAAATACCATTTTGACTGCATTTGTGTTATGGTGCTTACCACTTTCTTTTTAATATTTGTTTATATGCTTCCCCTTTACTGGTCTGTAAAATTTTGTGAGGGCAGAATCCTTGTTTAACTCATTTTCCTATTTTTCCCACAGAACTTATCGAGCTTAGTAAGAACACAATAAAGTTACAAACAAATAAATGATGAGCAGAATTAATCTTTCATTGTTGTTAATCCTCACCCAAGGTATTGTTCCATTGATTTTTAGAGAGAGTGGAAAGGACAGGGAGATACAAAGAAAGACAGCAACTCAACTGGGGCTGGGGATCAAGCCTGCAACTGGGTACATGCCCTTGATCAGAATTGAACCTATGACCCTTCTGTCTGTGGGCCAACGCTCTATCCACTGAGCCAAAAGCGCAACTAATTTATCTTGTTCCAGGGAGATGGAGAGTTTCATAAGGGCAGGGATGAAGTGTTCTCTCTCTATCTGGGATGAAGATGTGGGTAAGGAATCCCCATCAGTTGTAGAGATGATTGCACAGTGGTCACAACTGACCTATAGACTAAGGTTTCAAGATCTATAATGGACAGTCATCAACCCTTGGAGATCCCCGCTTTAGACCAGTTATCATGGTATTCATCAAATATTTGTTGATTGTTGTGAGTGGCAAATTTCCCAATCTCTGAGGCCATCTTTATTATGTACCAAGAGGGCTGTTTCTGAATGGAACTCTCCCCACCTCTGGCCCCACCCCATTACTAAGGGTTGGATAGAATCCATGTGTCCTTTGGACTAGGGTGCTTCATGATCTATGGTAAATCCCTCCCCTTTTTGTCACCCCAGCAGTTCCAGGGTTGACTCATTTTCTAAATAAGCCACTTGTGGTTTTTGGTCTGACATCAAATGTGGAAGAATGAGTAATTTTTCAAGAACCAGAATTATATTTGAG